GGAGCCTGTCCTGGAACTTGCTTGGTAGACCAGGCTGGCCTCGAACTCAGAGATCTGCCTGCTTCCTCTCGAGTGTTGGGATTAAAGGTGTGCGTCACCAATGCCCAGCTCATGCAATCTCTTAACTGTAATCCCCTGTAAAATCAAAATCAAAAAATAGATCACATGCTCCAACACATAATGGCACAGGATATACCTTACCATTCCAAAATGTAAGGAAGGGAATGTAGTGAGGAAACACTGGATCAAAGCAAGATCAAAAACCAGCTGGGCAAACTCCAAACTCTGCATCTCCATGTCTGATGTCAAAAGTTCTCTTCAGATCTCCAACTCCTTTCAGCTTTGTTGACTGCAACACACCTCCCTCTCTTGAGCTGTTTGCACTCCCTGTTAGCAGCTTTCCTCAGCAGGTATCTCATGGCTCTGGCATCTCTAACATATGGGGGGGAGGTTGATAGTTGGGGGGGGGTGTAGGGGAAGCTGTAGCCACGCCTTCTTAGGGGCTGGCTACAGGAGTACCTGAGGGCTTGTGAGGGCGTGGTCAGAGTGAGTAGGGGGACTGCGTTTTCGGTTTCGGTTTCTCTTTGCTTCTTGCTGTACAGACTACCACCGGCTGGCTGGTCCGCTCTGTAAGTAAGGCTTTTCCCTATTAAATTGGTCCGCTCTGTAAGTAAGGCTTTTCCCTATTAAATACCCTTATATTTCTACCTGACTCCGTATTGGTAATTACCTACTATAGGGGGGTGTCTCCAAGGTAATTCAGGCTTCTCCTTCACAGCTTCACACAATGGCCTGTCTACTAGGCTTCCATTTGAGAGGGCAGAATAAAACTCCTTTTTAGGAAAAAGCCTTTTTGAGAAAATTCCTATGTGGCCCAAGGCTGACTCAGCTCCGGGATGAAAGGGCCATAAACAGTTCTGAGAAAATTCACAAACTGTGCCTGCCCAGGTCAAAGCAACCCCACTCAGTGGTCAGACAATGACTGACTTTGGTAAACAACATCTGCTTTCCTCAGATTGCCCTTGTGGGCATCTGTTAGTAACAGTTTTAGAATTCCTCTAGACCACAGCAAATGGATTTAAAGGTCCCAAACTCTTACTCAATCCTGAAATGTCAATACCACCCTGCTTGCAGTTTTTCCCTTAAAAAAACCCTTTACCCTAAGAGTTCAGGGCTGTTCTCCTTCAGCCTCAGCTTTGGGGTGTGTCTGTTGACAGAGTGCTGGTTGACTGTCCAAGATCGAGCTTATAATCAATAAACCCATGTGTTTTCATCAGCTACTGACTCTGTGGTGGTTTTGATCATGGGTCTCTAAACGTGGGCACAGCACATTCAGGGACATCCCTGACATATGCCTGGCCTCAGCTTCTTTATTCCATAACTCCTTTCTTCTATCCTTAACTCTAAATCCAGAACCACCTGTCCAAAGCCGCCAAATTCTGCTGCTTGCTGGGGCTGGAACATCACCCCCCCCCAATCCAATTACATCTTCACCAGCTCTCTGTTTTCCAAGGTTTCCTTTACTGCCTAAGCTTGGCTGTACTGAAAATGGATCTGTAGACCAGGTTGGCCTCAAACTCAGAAGTCTACCTGCTTCTGCCTCTGGAGTGCTGGCATTATAGGCATGCACTGCCACTAAGCTTTTCTTAAAAGTTGGAAACACAAGTTGGAAATTTAGTTGGATGGGATCTTGCCCTGAGGTCACCATTCCCTTTATTCCATTTCATAATCTGCTTACTTCCTTGAACACAGGACTTAGTTCTGTTCCACTTCTTGGTGCTCCTTTTCTCCTCAAATTGTAATTTTGTATTTTTCCCTGTTTAGCTTGTTCTTTTTCATTGTAAATTTTTATAAGCATGAACACTAGTAACCACATGACAGCGTCTACACTGGGATGTTTTGAGATTCCCTCTGCCAACATAATTAATCCATAACTCTTCACTTTAGCCTCAGGCAGACTCTTTGGACAAGAGTAAAAACAGCCACTTCTTTAGGCAACATACTAAAATTATTCTCCTCTGAAACCTCTTGAGTGAGCCATCCATAGTTCAAATCACTCTCGGCACTACTGTCTTCCATTCTCCTACTAGTATGGCCCATTAAGCAGCACTTAAAACCTTCAACTGCTTTTTAAATTCACAGTCCAAAAGTCCAAGTGCAGGCAGGCAGGCAGACATGGTGCTGGAGAAGGAGCTGAGGAGTTCCATGTCTTGATCTGAAAGCAACAGATCCAAAGGAACTGAGACACTCGATATAGTTTGAGCACAGGAGACCTCAAAGCCTATCCCCAAACGACATACTTCCTCTAACAAGGCCATGCCTACTGAAACTAAGCCCACCTCCTCATTGTCCCACTCCCTATGAGCTTATGGGGGCCAATTACATTCAAACTATCACACTTTTCAAGAGGTTGCTAGAGAGCAGTCTAGAGGAAACAGCAAGACTACTTCTTTTTTACTTTATTTGGTCAGGATGTGGTAGCTGAATGAAATGAGAAATAAGCTCTCCAAGGTATGGCCGAGAAGGTTTTATTGTAGATATGAGGGAGGGTACAGCCAGAGGCAATTAAAAGAGTCTAGAGCAGGAAGAAACATTAGCAGACTGAACTAGGCCATGAGAAGAGAGGGAGGGGATGAGAGGAAGAGAAGAAGAGAGAGAGAGAGAGAGAGAGAGAGAGAGAGAGAGAGGTGCTGGGAAAGGGAAGGTAAGCCCCTGGGCTAGAGAGGGTTAGGGTTGGTTAAGAAATGCTGAGGGGAGCACAGGGACTGGGTGGGCCTAGTGGCCATTTTTCGCTTTGGTATGCTAACAGACACCTCAGTTAGCTATTGCTTCTTTGGGACCTGACAGTAGCCTTGCATTGGCAGTGGGATGGTCAGTTCTATGCTGTTGCAACCTGTAGCAACCCGAGCAGCTTCTGTGAGGGACATCTACTCAGGGGAGGCCATGTTCTTGACTTTGCTGCAGAAAAGAATTTCAGGACAGTCAGTATGACACAGAGGTAGAGTTTATTTTACTTATTTTGTTTTTTATTATTATTTGCTTTTTCTGAGACAGTTTTGTTCTCATCATAGCCCTGGCTGTCCAGGAACTCATATGTATATCAGGCTGGCCTCAAACTCACAGAGATCCTCCCACCTGCGCCTCCCAAGTGCTGGAGTTAAAGTCATATACCCCTGTTGCACAAATTCTAAGAGGTCTTAATAATAAAAGCCCACAGTCAGATATTAGGGGGAAAGCTGAAAGTCAGAGAAGCAAAGCAGCCAGCAAGTAGCTCTTACCTCTACCTCAGACCCAATGGACGAGCCTGTCTTCACAAATCCTCTGAATGCTAGACTGCTTAGACTGCACTGAGCTCCTGTCTCCTGCTTTATATTCCTCTCTCCCCCAGACATAGGCCTTCCTGGCTCCACCTCCTTAGTGCTGGAATTAAAGGCGTGTCACTCCAAGTGCTGGGATCACCTTTGTGTGAGCTCTGTTTCTCAATTTCGTGTAGCTTCGGGTGGCCTTAAACTCACAGAGACCTGTCTGCCTCCATCTTCTGAGTGCTGGGATTAAAGGTGAGTACCACCACTGCCTGGCCTCTATGGATAATTAGTTTGGCTAGTTTTGCTCTCTGATCTTCAGGCAAGTTTTATTTGTTAGATCATAAAATATCACCACACTTTGCTAGAGGTAGCATTTATTAAGGAGAGATTTTAACACTGATTTAAGCATGGAGGTTAACTGAAGTACTGAGGAAAAGGCTAGGATACACATGTGTGGGTCTTGAGCTTCTCCAGGGAATTGTGTGCATCTTTACATTAGTATTTATATGATTTGGTGGCTTCTGGAGCTACATCCCTAAGGGCTGTAGGGCTTTAAAGGTGATCACAGGTGGTTTCTGTTTAAGTGGAAATTCTGTCTCAGCATCCCGCCTCCCCTCAAACCTTACCCCTCAGAAAGTCCACCAAGGTGTGGTCCCTCCCCCTGAGATGCTCAAGACTGTACCGACAGGGTATTTAAGACCCAGACCCTAGACTTGCCAAGTGATTTCTCTCCTCCCTTCCCAAGAGTCACCCAGGAGTTGCTTTGTTCTGTTAATTAAAAGCTGATCTTATTAATTTGGCTGGATTTGGCTTATTGCATCATTGGAGATTCAAAAATACTTATCAGTTTCTGAGATCCAACAGATAGCATTACAGCTGATAAAGTAAAACCCTGTCCTGAGGTTTGTACACTAGAGTTAAGATATGCTTCTACTGCAAATATGGTTTATTGTCTTGTTTGTGAGATTTCCAGAAATCTATAATTTTGCATCATAGAAAGATATGTAAGAGATATTCATGCTTAGTCTGTGAGCATGGCTCGGGGCTATTTCATTGTTACTTGAAATACCTCTATGTAAAAAGAACACTGTCCCCATGTAAGCAGCTTCCTCAGCAAATGCTAACCATATTGGAGCTCTTCACCAAAGACGTCGAGAAGCTTCAACTAGATTCTGAGGTGAGGTGTGCCTTTCCCTTCCCAGTTTCCCTTTGATGGGGTAATGTCCTTCTGTGTATGTGTTTCTCTTATTGGTTGATGAATAAAACACTGATTGCCCAGTAGCTAGGCAGGAAGTATAAGTGGGGCTGTGAGACAAGAAGAATTCTTGGGAGAGGAGGCAGAGAGAGGTCTCGAGGGAGAGGCCGTGTAGTCAATGAAAGAGTAACATGCTGGAGCAATATGGGTAAGCCACAGCCTTCTGGCAATACATAATTTAATAGAAATGGGTTAATAATTAAGAGAGAGCTAGCCAATAAGAAGCCTGAGCCATTGGCCAAACAGTTTCTAAGTATTATAAGTCTTTGTGTGTTTATTTGGAGCTGAATGGTTGTGGGACCAGGTGGGAAAGAAACTCTGTCTTCACCCCTTTACCTTTCTTTCCTTCCCCAACCTCATATGTCAAAGCCAGGAAGACGGGAGTTTGGAGTGGCATTCCCTCTGGAGCAGGAGGGGCTCTGCCAGTAGAGATGACAGTAATGATGGCATAGAGGATGCAGGAAAAAAAACCCATTTTCTCCGCTGATTAAAAAATTAAAAGGCAGCAGGGCATTGGTGGCACACGCCTTTAATCCCAGCACTCGTTAGGCAGAGGCAGGCGGATCTCTGAGTTCGAGGCCAGCCTGGTCTACAAGAGCTAGTTCCAGGACAGCCTTCAAAGCCACAGAGGAACCCTGTCTCGAAAAACAAAACAAAACAAAAAATAATTAAAAGGCAAGAAAAGTTCAAAGGTCAAGCAAAGCCAAAGTTTATTTAAAGAAGACAGTTTTATTAGAGGCTTTGTTTTTAAAACAAAGCCAAACAAATAGCAGGGCAGGCAAGCTGTAATCTCAGCAGCTGCCCCCAGCGGGAGGATGGAGAAAAGCAGGAAAAATTGCCCTGCTGTCTAAGTTAATCATGCCCAGAGAACAACCACATGGTGGAGACAG